CCAATGAAGGTGATAAGTGTTCTCTTCAGTTTTCCCTCTCCCAACCCATGGTTCTCAATCCTGATCTTTAATGCAGTGGTTGTCACTCCAAACTTTTTTAAAATCTAGTGTCCCATTGTGAGATTAAAAAGATCTTATGCTAATACAGAATGCTCCCCAAGAAGTCATACCAACAACTCAGCTAAACTCAGTAGTTTTACATACTGGATATTAATGTCCACAAGGTCAAGGATACTACAGTCAAATAAGCTATCATACCATCAACAGATTTTCCTGCATTAGTGCAACTGTGGTGCTGCCTGGGAACACCTGATGGAAAGACCTTGCAATATGACATGACATGAGTTAACCACTAGTGGGGCAAAGAATCACAGCAACAGCCTGATATTCACAGAATAATTACAATTATAGAGGACCTCCCCATCCCTGGCAATTTCAGAACCAGAATTAAAAGCATTACCTATCATTCTAAAATGATGTAAAAAAAAGTCTACTCTACAACAGCATAGTGGAAAACATTTGCTCTTCTTTTTCATTATTATTTTCATTATTATTTCTCTCTCTCTCTCTCTCTCACACACACACATTAATCTATAGAGTTAACACCATTTAAAATTCATTAAAAGAACAGAACATAAAGAAGTTGGCAAAATAGCACACTTAGGGGTTGTCTGCATGGGCCAAAGGCCGATTTTCCACCCAGCCTCATGCTGTCTAGTTCAAACAATATAGGCCAAAATCCCAGGGGCAGGATTGGGCCAGATCATGGCAGAGCAGATGCAAATCCAGAGGATCTGGACTGATTGAAGGGTAAATAGCCATTAGCCCAGGGTAATTTGACCCCTGTCTTGTTTCCTTGAAACTCTACAGCAAATCCTGGCTGTTTAGATGGCTCCTCTTGCTCCTTATCTTGCTGTGCCATCACTCTTACTTAGAAGCCCCCATCACTGCATCTGATATGTAAAGAGGACACTTGGCCATGTGAGTGCAGCCAGGCCCCCCATTTCAACATCAGATACAATGATGGGGGGCTTTTGAGTATGAGTGACAGCATGTCAAGATAAGGAGCATGCCCTGGTATTGGGTCTCAGGTCAGTGTGGAGGCAGACATGTAGACACCTGCCTGTACCCATGCCAACCCAGGGACTAACTCGAGTAATCACTGGGGCCAGGATAACATGGGTTCAGCTTGTGCTTTCCTGTTCTGTCTCCTCAGTCCCCGAGAAAAGCTTATCACAATCAGTTCCTAAAAGCCTGGTGAAATAGGATGGATTTCCACCTTTTGGCAGAAGGAGAGCAAGGAAGAAGCCATGTTACCCTCCTTCAGAAGGAAGTTATGAAGTCTGAGAAGACTGTTTTTATGTTCTTGTTCAGCAAATTCCACGTAATTCATTTTCAAAGCTACCTTCCCTCTCTTCACAGATCTCCTATTATGTTTTCTAGTCTATCTGCAGAGAAACTAAGCTTTGTATTAACAGTTTCAATAATTGTTTTTGTTAATAAGTAGAGGCAGAATTTGATTTTTCGAGACAGTGCATCATTATTTACAAGGTGAACAATTAGTATTTTGTGCAAACAGGCAATTTATTTCTATGTCCCTTTGCCAGAGAACAATGAATAGCCAAAGTAATTCCCAACAGTGTCGTGGGAGTGTGTTTCTATGCACAAAGGCTAGAAGGGACCTGAATGTTACTGTGATATCTATATCTATATCTATATCTATATCTATATCTATATCTATATCTATATCTATATCTATCTATATCTTTAACAATCTGCTGGTTGCTTTCTTCCTGAACGGAAGGTCTTACAGCAAGAGTAGGGGTTTGTGGGTCTCCAAGTGTCATTGGACTGTATGCTGCATCAGTCATAATTGGTATAGCTGATGGTAAAGGATGACGTGAGCTATAGAACAGATCCATTTGGAGGTCCACAAGGTCCAGACCTCTGTATTTTTGGGTGTGCTAATATATGGAAACAGTAAAAAATAACTTTTAATCTATGCATCCTTTTTATATGGTGAGCAGAATGTGGAACAGCTTCCTAGAAGGCTCTCCTGTATCTCCAGAAAGTGGACTCAGGAGGGAAACAGACCCAATGGAAGCAAAACAAGACAAGGTGAACCTTAGGAGTCTAAAATAAAATGGAGTCAATATAACAACAACAAACCCTTCTCTTAGGGTTGCCAAAGTGAACATTGGAGAGGGCTCCTGTACATTTAAAAATAGTTATGAAAAAGAGGGGATTTTAGCAGGTTTTGCTCATTACACAACTAGGTAGATTCCTTCTTTTACATGGCCATTAAAGCAAGAATGGTATGTGGGCCCTATGACCATTTTTGTGGCCCTTAGGGCCTCCCAGTAGGCAAACTTTTTGCCTCCTGTGCCCCCAGGTGCTCTCTAGGGAACATATGGGGGCATTTTTGCCATATTTTGAAGACCACTGGGCCATTTTAAGCCCAGAAAAGGCTTTTTTTTAATTAAAAAAAAAGTGGAGGTAAATCACAAGTGACTTCTGGTCACTTCTTGTTTTGAAAAAAATGGCCCAGGGATGTAAAAAAATGGGGAGATGCCCCCACATCCCCCTTAGGATATTGGGGGCAGTGGTAGCTGGTGCTGGTCCTCCTCCTCCTCCTCCTATTTTACAGTGCTGAGTATGATTGTTTGTGGATTTGATTATTTCTTTCTTTCTAAGCAGTGGGCATGGGAATCTTTATATGTGCCCCACCAAGGTCTCCTGGCATCTAATGCAGCCTCCTAGACTCCCATGCCTAAATTAAAGGTACAGGAGCCCTCTCCTGTTTTCACTCTGGCATCCCTGTTGATGTTGCTATGTGCCTTCAAGCCATTCTTCCAACCTATGGTGACCCTAAGGCAAACTTATCATGGGGTTTTCTTAATAATAATAATAATAATAATAATAATAATAATAATAATAATAAATACCCCGCCCCTCTGTTAAAAATAATTGGGGCGGCTTACAATGGTTAAAAATTGCACCAAGAATACAGAATAAAAGCCCCCAAACCCCACCCTCCCCCTTTAAAAAAGCATTAAACAGCACGTCATAGAAATCAACATAAAATCATAGAAAGAATTAAGAGAATTTAAAATGATTACAAACAAACAAAAACCGTGGGCAAACCAAAAACTGAAAGAGGAAGGGTGGGGCAACTCCTGAGGCTGGGAATTTAATCAGGAAAGGTAGGCTAATGACACCCAAATCTATTTCTCCATGCCTCGATCTTCGGCCTAGAATTCCAATGATGTCCCTTCTCTCAATAAATGTCTTTGGGCAGTAATGGGCTGGATGAGGAAAAATAGATTGAGATTGAATCCAGAGAAAACAGAGGTGCTGATGGTAGCTGCCCCAAACCCGAGAATTGGGTTGCAACCTCTAGTCCTGGACGGGTCACACTCTCCATAAAGGACTGTGTTCGCAGTCTGGGGGTGCTCCTTGACTCGTCGCTCCTGATGATGAATCAGGACGAATCGTCTCTTCTGCCAGTTCAAGGGCATGGTCCAGGAAGAGAGAGGAA